TTATGATTAAAAAATTATATAAGTAGGGTTGACATGTGGAGATTATCCGGCTAAACAAAATGTGATCCCTCTCTTAAATGTGTGTCAACCACAGACCTTATTTCGAGCTATTTTCCAAAATCCTATCGAGAAATTGCATTGCTTTTTGTCGAAGGAACCGGAAGTGCTAAAAATGCTAACTTACTTCCGGGTTTTAGGACGCGTCACTGTGGCACTCTATACATGCCAACTAATAAATCAAGTTCAGAGTGTATATAATCTCAAAACCAAAAACAAGAATGTAAGAAAAATGAAAATACATGCTTTATTCAGTACAGGGGGCAGCTGTGGCTTAGGGGATCATCCACTACAGGGGAGATTGGCAGTTCCCTCAGATTGCTTGGCATAAAGTGGCAATACAAATAAAATGTTAACTGCAAATAGAAATACACGTACAGGCACATCATCTTTTTTATTTGGTATGGCCCATGGGATTGTTAATGTCAGTACTGAAATATATTAACAACTATGGGATGGATTGAAATGTAGTTCCAGAGGATGAGGCATTAATACTCTGACAATCCCCTATCCTTGTTTCTTGCTCCACCTGATGGTTTTCACTTTAAATATCTCTATGTGTACTTGATGGATTGATAAAACGTTTTAAACAGACATTCAGGGTTGGAGATGACCAAATTAAAGGTTAACATTAATTGGTTGCAACTCTCTAGAACACAACCTGTTAATATTTTCTATATTAATTTATTAGCTAAGTGTACTGCTGTGGACAGGGGGGCATCAGAAAAACTAATTTAAGTCACCTAAAAGGAACAACCTTAGAAAAGAACAGCCATAATTTGAAAAGGCTGCATGGTCTACAACCACCTCTATCAGAATACCGCAGTGTTTAATGACAGTTTCTGTCAGTGGAGTCCGGTGACTCTGGAGAGAACATAGATAACGGCTTTAGTTCACCGTTGGAAAGGGCTGGGTAAAGCGGTGAAAATATTCTAAATATAGCCTACACTTCAACTGATATTGATTTTTGTGAAACTTTGATTTAGGTGCCTAAAAAGCGTTCTGCTGTCCCTGTCAACAGCAGCAGTATTGGTTTGCTTCCATGTGCTTTCTTCAGTCTCTTTCATCTGTCCTCTCCTTCCTTGGATTTATTTGAGGTCTTTTTTTCTCTAATCTTCAATGTTAGCTCATGCTACAGTCTACTATTTATTCAAAACATGCTTATATTAACTTGCTTTACACCAAAAAGCATTACCCAGAAAGACCTGACCCCAGGCCTTAACATGTAAAAGCCTGAATCAGTATAACAGTGATTACTGGGAATTTAAAAAGAGGAAACACCAGCCGCTGTTATCACAAATAATCAGGATGGACTGTTACAGCGACTGCTATCTACCCTCAGCAATGTTCCACCTATTTGCACTTGATGTCTGAAGGGCATCTTAGATATTTGTTGTGATGAGGCGCTGCAAAGTGCACTCCAACGTGTCCATTACCGCTGTAAAGTGACATCTAAGATTCAAAATAGATGGAACCTGTTGGCAGCCTTTCAGTGGTGCAGTTTCTTGTTGAAAGCATTCATATTTATGTTTGCTATTTCAGAAACTGCAGGGCATCTGCTAAATTCAAAATTCTCCCATTCAGAAAGTATTTTTTATATTTAATTTAGGAGTAACCTTGGAATTGAGGCGATCCTACAGACGTACAAACCTATGGGTGTGTTTGCAGTATGAAATAAGATCTGGGTAGTAAGTAACATAATTTGACATGTGAATCTGAGTGGCTGCCGTCAACATGATGAAACTCACATCTGATCCTGCCTTCAAACACCTGCTTCCTCGTCTTTATTCAAGGATTTTCTCCTCTGTATTTTCTCCTTCTCTGACCTTTTTCCACCTATTCTTCCTTTCCTCCCTTAAAGGACACATCATGCTATATTTAAATTATATATTGTAGGGCCATACCTATATAAGGTATATGTCAGGGTGCGTGGAAAAGGTAGGACCCAAATGCAGAATTTAACAAAAAGCGAGCTTCATTAAATCATAAAGCTGTGGCAAAAAGGCAGTATCCAAAATATCCAAAAACAAACGAGCAGTACAAGGAACACAGACCGTGGAAACAACATGGAGGGGAAACAATGAACCGACATGGAACACAGGGGAAAACTAGACTAAATACACAGAAGGGTAATCACAGGACAAGACACAGCTGGGCAGGGGAGGGAGAAACACAAGGGCAACAGGTGAACACAATGAGACAATCAGACACACCAGGGAAACTAAAGACAGGGAGGAGGACCAGACAAAACACAAGGAGGAAGACAAAACACTGAATGAACAGACTTACAAAACCCATAACCAGACAGACAACACTAAAACCGTGACATAAACCTAGGAGTGTGACAGAAATGGGTGAGAAACGGTCGAATATCAAGACCGATAGTCTGAAGGAGGTTTGAGGGGATAGGGTCCAGAGTACAGGTGGTAGGACGGGCAGTGGTAATGAGGGTAATAACCTCGCTTGGAGAGAGAGGGGAGAAGGAGGTCAGTGTGTGGGTGAAAGGAGGGTCTGGTGACCCAGCGGTGAGTAAAGGTGAGTCAGAAAAAGAAGAGCGAATATCATCAACCTTTTTTTCAAAGTAGTTAACAAAGTCGCTTGACAGAAGGGAGGAGGGCCAAGGCACAC